TCTGTGGAAGGCAATGGAAAGAAGATTGGTACTGTTGAGAAATTTTTACAAACAGGAGGTGGGCAAGGTTGGATCAGGAAAGTGTATAATTGAGAAGAAGGCATGAACTGAGATAGGGCCAGATAATGTGGGGTAAGGATGTAAGAAAGAATTGAACCAAGACTTGGATTTCTGAATTCTGAGAAGTGAAATGAAGTGAAGACAGCTGTGTGTTATCTATCCCCTAAACAGAGGGAATTGCCATAATACATTCTTGTCTTTTTAAAGCAATGAGCAGTGAAACCACCAAAAAAAAAAAAAAAAAAACAGAGTCTGTCGCACTAGATTCTGCTTTTGCTTTTTATTAGGATAAGGATTAATTTGGACCCCAGGATAAGAGAAAATGGAACGCAAATCTATTCACACTTTATCCCGCTATTTTTTTTGCACCTTCTAGGTAACTTTGAACTCAAAAACATCTCTGAGAATGAAAATTTTTAGGACAACTTTATATTTTAATCTAGTATATTTATACTTACAGTTATATATATTAGGGAAAATGACAGATAAAGAAGCTCCAAATGTGAAATGCCATTTGGGAAGCTAAGGAAATGTAATTACCCATAGGGAAGTCCTTCCCAAATTGGGATTTTGAAATTCAGTGAAATGACAAAAATGCCCTTTGTTCTTTTTTTTTTTTTTAAAAAAACCCAGCCCCTCAGTGGTGGCCGGCGACCGGTGACCACCGCCGGCGACTGGCCTCCGGCGGCCGCCGACCGCCTCCGGCCACCGGCGCCGGCCACCGGTGTGGTGGCTGCCGGTGAAGGATTTTTGTGACAAGATTTTTTTTTTTGGGAATAGGATAATATTGGTTCAAAGTGGCGGGGGTGGGATTTGATCCCACAACCCCTTGGCCACTTGGACCAACAAAAGGATGGCCATTGGGCCATCAAAGATTTCTTAACCTTATAATGCAAACAAAAATATAAGTTAACTCTTTTACTGTGACTCCAGCTCGTGACAACAATTTATCTGAGGATGACAAGTCTTAATTGAGAAATAACAAGTCTAAATTTGATATTAACAAAGCAACTTTTCCTTATACATAACATAGCAGCATGTGCATTAATTAAAAATGATCATAATTTATTTAAAATGACACGTCTTTACTATAAAATGACAAGTCTAAATTGATATTAACAAGGCAACTTTTCTTTATACATAACAAGAAATAGCATCTACGTTAATTAAAAATGACCATAATTTATTTGAAAAAAACACGTCTTTACTGGAAAATGACAAGTCTAAATTTGATATTAACAAAGCAACTTTTCGTTATACATAACAAGAAATACCGAATAAATTGTTGTTATTTTTCAACAAAGACGTGTCATTTTTAAATAAATTATGATCATTTTTAAAATGATCATAATTTATTTAAAATGACACGTCTTTGTTGAAAAATAACAACAATTTATTCGGTATTTCTTGTTATGTATAACGAAAAGTTGCTTTGTTAATATCAAATTTAGACTTGTTATTTCTCAATTAAGACTTGTCATCCTCAGATAAATTGTTGTCACGAGCTGGAGTCACAGTAAAAGAGTTAACTTATATTTTTGTTTGCATTATAAGGTTAAGAAATCTTTGATAGCCCAATGGCCATCCTTTTGTTGGTCCAAGTGGCCAAGGGGTTGTGGGATCAAATCCCACCCCCGCCACTTTGAACCAATATTATCCTATTCCCAAAAAAAAAAATCTTGTCACAAAAATCCTTCACCGGCAGCCATCACACCGGTGGCCGGCGCCGGTGGCCGGAGGCGGTCGGCGGCCGCCGGAGGCCAGTCGCCGGCGGTGGTCACCGGTCGCCGGCCACCGCTGAGGGGCTGGGTTTTTTTTAAAAAAAAAAAGAACAAAGGGCATTTTTGTCATTTCACTGAATTTCAAAATCCCAATTTGGGAAGGACTTCCCTATGGGTAATTACATTTCCTTAGCTTCCCAAATTGGCATTTCACATTTTGGAGCTTCTTTATCTGTCATTTTCCCTATATATTACTCTGTTAAATACATGATAAATATCTACATTATGTTCGCATCAGATCTCAAAAGCAACCTAATATGACAGCTAAAAGAGTACTCAGAATCTTTCATTGAAAAAAGGAAGTAACCAGAATTCTAAAAATTCATTTGTAAGTTTAGGTGATAACTGGTAACTACCTGATGTGATTGATGCAATTGTTCTTCAAAATCATTTCTTGTTCTTTCAAGAGTTATATGGATTGGATTGTGGAAGTCTTCTTCCTATGCTTTGATCTTGTCATTTACCCTCATGCTTACTTGACCTTTTATTTTCTAAATTTATCAATTATTCTGATATAAGACCAATTGTATTATATGACAGTGAAGATTGGGCTTTAAAAGAAAAACAAAAGCTTAAAATTGAGTTAGTAGAAATAAAGATATTAAGATGGATGTGAAGTCATATAAAAAAAAAATATTCGAAATGAAAATATTAGAATAAAAATAAATGTAACGTCTAACTAAAAGAAATTGGTTGAACATCATTTGAGGTGGTTTGGGCATGTGAAAAAAAGATCATTGGAGACACTAGTGAAAATGGTAAATCACATACGTTGGAGTCTTATAAAAAAGAGCAAAGGAAGACCAAGAAGAACGCTCAATGAGATCATTGAACGAGAACTTTTAGTCAATAATATATCTAAAACTTAGTTATTAATAGAGTACAATAACATTGTGCGATCCATATAACTGACCTTACTTAATAAAATAAAGGTTGTTGTTGTTGTATCAATTATTCAGTTAATGTTTTTCATTCAAGATCTTTTACTCTTGAAAAATCTTCTAAAATTGCCAAAAATTATTTTTTTTTTCCTAACTTTATATAAGGTTTCAACTTAATCCCTTGATTTTATGAGGTATTTTTTTTTTTAGTTTTCTAATGCTGACACCCGTCAATATTAAATGATGATTTTTGTTTGAGGCGATCGTTGTTATTTTAAAAAGGTCAACTTAAAAACCCGTGCTCATAATGAAAAAATTTGATGATGTTTGTGAACATTTAAAATTTTAACATAGACATTTTTTACAGTAACGATATTATAATAGAATAATCAAAAAACGCTTTATAAAATTAAGAAAATAAAATGAAACATTGTATGAAGTTAATCAAATATAAGACTTATTTTTGTATTTAAAATTCAAAATTAATCATTCAAGTACAATATTCTCAAGAGCATTTGTTTGCCAAGGAAAGGACCAATGTGATAAGATTTTGTGATGAGAAGCTGCACTCCTAGTACTTGCTAGTTGCTACATTTTGGGGCCAACCGGTTGGAGGCATCTTTCTTGAGTCTTGGCAAGGAGACCTAACCTGAAATTGCATTAATTGTATTTGTACCGCCCAGCACTGTAAAAGAGACAAAATTTGTTAGGAAGATGACACTCCCCTATGGATTTTATTAACATTTAAGGGCGTTAATTTTTAATTTCAAAATAAAGGGGAAAAAAACTTGGACCACCAAGTTGTTTGAATTAAAAAAAAAAAAATAGTCTTTTTGAAAATTGGGCTTTTGTTGCAAAAATAACAAGTTTAGTTGCAAAATTCCAAACTCAATTTTAAATAGAAGTTAAATTGTAAATAATTAAAATTTCATGATATTACCTACCTCCGATTCTAATTATAAGAGCTAGTTGACTAATTTGAAGAGATTAAAGAAATAAATTAAGTTAGTTATTTGTAATAAATAAATGTTGTCTTTTTTAAAACATCCTTACTAATCAAATTTATTGGCTAAAACTACAATTATTAGAGGGACTACTTTGGGAAAAAAATACATAAATATGAGAGACAAAGTGGATTGGAGTCTTATAATTAGGATCAAAATAAAAGTCAAACAAAGTACTCCTCCGGTCCTTATTATAAGATCCAATTTGACTTTTTATTTGGTCCTAATTATAAGACCCAATCCATTTTGTCTCTTATATTTATGCATTTTTTCCAAGATAATCCTTCTAATAATGATAGTTTTAGCCAATATACTTAATTAGCAAGGATATTTTAGGAATGACAACACTTATTTATTATAAATAACCAACTTAACTTACTTCCTTAATCTCCTCAAATAAGTCAATTGGGTCTTATAATTAGAACCGGAGGAGTATTATATTAAGGACCGAAGGTAGTATATCACATTATTTATGATTTTCAACTCAAATATCAGATTTTAAAACTCAAATAACAGAGAAATACGAAAATGAGGTTTTCTTTTATTTACAATTAAACTATTAACACTTGTAACTGAGCTTTCAATTTTTGACCGTCACTATGTTCTCAATTGAGCAAGAATATTTTAGTCCACCGCATTATTTTTTCCACAAGACAAGGGCCATAGTCTTTATGTAATATTTTCATGATTTATTATTTTCAAAATACTTAAATTTTAGTTCAGTATGATCTTTCTATCAGGTTTAATCTCATTGCTAGGATCATTCATTAGTTTGTTGGTTCAATTAATTCGAATTCTCGCTTGTTGGATTGGTCTCTTGTGGCTTCTTGTCAATCGCAATAGAAGTGGGATAAATTGAACACCTTCTTTTTTTTTAAATTAGAAAATATGAGTTTTTTTCCCAGGCAGCCCATTTTCAATGTTTTTTTTAGAAAAAAGCCCATATGCAAGTTAATGGGCCTTTATTTTTTTTGGTGATAAGGCTTTTTTTGTTTTTAATCTTCAATGTACTGATGGGCCCAAGAAAGTAAATGTACGGACAAGAAAAAATCGAAAACGTAATGCTTTTCTTTCGCCTCCTCAATTTTTATCGTTCGGCCACTTTTGGTTTTTCTCCTTTCAAGACACCAAATCTTCGAAACCTTTCAATTTCGAACTGTTGTGGTGGGAAGTACACTCCCAGATTCCATACTTAAATTTCTTTGTTTCTTTTTTCTTTGCCCATTTTTGCGTCTAAGTTTGTTCTATTACAATCTACAAATATCTCAGATTTGTGGTATTTTTATGGGTAAGTGGAGGAACCGTAGAATCTTTCGTCAACGAAGATCTCCCAGGCCGCCTTCTGTGTTCTATGACCTTCAAGCTCCTCTCCCTGGTAATTTTTTATATTTCCTTTTTGTTTTGTTTTTTTTAAATCATTAAAACGTGATTAATCTTCGAAACCTTTCAATCTCGGACTGTTGTGGTGGCAACTACACTCCCAGATTCCATATCTTCTTCAAACTTCTATTTGGAATTGCCGAAGACAAATTTCGCGTTTTTCATTTAGAGGTGGGCACTTGAGTTTGATTGGCAAAAATAGTATGTAGTTATTGAGATGTGATTGCGAGAAAAATGTAGAAAACCAGAAAAATTGTTTGGTTAAATGAGAAGAGAACTGGCGTGTGCTTTGATTAATGGTAGGCTTTATAAATTATCAATTTGTATTGATGGCCCCTCCAAAGAGGGAATGCGTCGGGGTTTTTCTTGAAGGGATTACAGTTATTAACTGAGCTGAAGGGGCGTGTCTAACATTTTTGGCTGGATAGTTTAGGCGTTAATTGTCATAGGCAGTAGTACTGTAACCCTTTGAAGCTTCTTCTTGCTTAATTGAAGTAATATCTATATCTATCATGGTGTTAAAGAGGATATTGTCAAAAGTTTAATTGTTTGAGTTGTTAAGACCAGTGCGCCATGGGTTGTGTATTTTGACTTTGTTATGACATGACTGACTATATTCTGCAAGATTACTTTTTGCAGCTATGAAATTTGCTTTGGATTTAGAAATGACAATCATGGGTGGATAAGGCCATCATGTCTAACATTTTGATGTTATTTCTAACTTTTCTTTGAACATTCGAGTTCATATTTTTTGGTTTAGCACTTACTACTCTTATTTGGGTTGTTTGTTCTAATTTATCTATTTGTTTTTCACTCTTGCTTTCTTTGTCATGATGAATATGGTTTGAAAGTTTCAATCTTCTTATGATCTTTCACTATTATAATGGCATGTGCTTCTCTGTTCAACTTTAAAATTTGGAATTTGATTAATATGTTGTGACAAGATTTCTACAATCTAGCCTTGTTTTCATGCTTAGATGTGCCACTTTGGCTGTTGCAAATAAATCAAAAAACTTTTGATATGCTTATTTTATTTTATTTTATTTTTTCAGATGTCCTTCTGTTATTACCTTTTGTCTTCAATTCTGTTCAGTTTCTTGATGTTTGTGAGCAATTTTTTGAGACCTTTCAGTACCATTTTCCAATGTTGTTATGTAATTACTTCATATATCTTGTGTGGTTTTTGGAACATATGATATGAGAACCCAAAACAGTCAGCAGTTTCTTGATCTGCGTTACTTTACGCTTGATAAGCTTGCATTGTACGGCTAAAGTGATTGTAATCACAATGATAATCGTGTTATTTAATTTTTTGCGTTCCTATTAATATAATTTTCATCTCTCATTGTGCTTCACTGAATTTGTTGCTCCCTTTCCAATCTAAACAGATTTTCAGCAGGATGGTATACCCTTATGGGAGAAGAAATTTTGCACGTTGGTTGGATTGGTGCCATGGCAGAAAGTTGTTGACACCAAGAATTTTGTGAGCTGCCACAGCAATGTGCTTAATTGGAATGATTCAGCTGCTGAAGAAGCATTTCAAAATGCCAAAAAACAATATTGGGCAGAGATCAACAGCCTCCCTTGTGATATTTCTCTTCCTGATTCTGACACTTATATTGATCAAATAGATTGGAACCCCTATATTGATCCTGAACTGATAGAGGATTTGGATCGTGTGTACTGTCCTCCCCCTGATGAGGAAGAAAGGAATGCCGTAAGTTACAAGAGAACAAAAATTTCAGCAGATGTTGAAAATTCTCTGGAATTTGGTGATACAGAGCTTGACAAAGCATTGGAAAATAAAGATGGGTGGAATCAATGTGAATCCGATAAACACAAAAATAGTCCTAGCAATTCGGAAAAGAATGCCAATAACCCTTGGGAGTGCAGAGTAACTCGTGAAAATCGGAAATTACCTGACAATATGTGGGAAGGCGGTGGTGCCAAGGCTTGGGGTCGGAACAAAGTGAGTGGCCATGGTGATGACCTTGCGGACTGGGGCTGTGGATATAATGCTTGGCAGAATGATACTAAAGGATGGGGTAAAACATGGGATGATAATAAAGGATGGGGCAAAGCTTGGGATAACACTTGGAACCGAAAGAAATCAAATAATTCCTTGAAATCGAAAGGCCTTGGGAATGCAAAACTAATCTGCATAATAGGGCTTCAGCGGGCAGAGGGTGGGGAAACTGTGAAGAAATGGCCCTGGATGGAAGCATCAGAGAAATGCCAATAATGTTTCGGACAATTTACAATTCAGAAGAAATTATGGAGATTGGACTGCCAGGAATCAGAGTTTCCAGAAAAGGGAAAGTTATCATCAATCCACCATAGGATCTCGATTTCAAAGGGATAGTCGTCAAACAGATCATCACTGGAGGAGGGAAGACTCAAAGAAGAGGGTCAGCTTTGCTTGTGAATAGGCATTACAATGCCGTGCCTTGTTTTTTTGGTCATGGGCATGAGATCGTTGTATTTGCTGATCCTTATGAATATCCCTGCGTGGAAGTGTTCATCTAGATTCTTTTGACGAGGTAGTTTTGCAAGCAATGCAATATAGCTGCAGGTTTTTCATTGTATTTATTCCCCTAGTTATGTTCTGAATCACCATGTGAATCATATCCAGGAAGTTATTATGTGGTTATCATGATTAAAGGTTCTCTTCATATCAGAAATATACCAACAAATTGAAGGCATGTGATTTATCCTTGATGTGTAAATTTAATAATTTCACTGGCCTATATCAATCTGTCCATTTACTATGTTCCTTTTTTCCATGCTCTTTTTGAGGTTTGGTGGTGCAGAATGTTTGCTGGACATTCTATTTATCTTACCTGAACTTGCATTTGTTAATCTGAATTTAATTAATGAAAAATTGATATATTATGAAATTGTGATTTACATTACACAATTGATTTTAGATTGTGATTGGTTATGGATGGATGATGTGATTTTGACATTTCATTCAAGATTTGAAGGACATGTACTAGAAACTTTGAAAGACCTTTTATCCCAGAAAAATTCAAGGAACACACATCGATATCGTGGGCTCTACAGTGTGGGCTTGAAAATGTATGGCGACCATTTATGATCGTTGGGTGCTCCAATATGTTTCTTCCAAAATTAATCTTCAGAGTTTGCCCACGAGTTTTTCTTCCCTTTTTGGGGCCAACCACAAATTAAGAATATATCCCTCCGGTCCTAAATATAAGACCCTTATACTAGTACTAGTATAAGGGTCTTATATTTAGAATTGGAGGAGTAATATTAATGCCTCATAGTAACCCAAAAAAAAAAAAAATCAATGGCTGATACAATAACCTCGTGTTTGGTTGGAGGGAAATAGAAAGAGAAAATATTTTAAAAAGTTGGATTTGAAAAAATTATATAAGTGGTTTTATAAGATTATGATGAGGTGATGTTGTGAGATTAACAAGTGAAAAAATAATTGAAAACATTTAATCTCATTTTTTCAATTTTTCTTGAAAATCAGACTCGTTATAATTTTTCCTCCTCCAACCAAACACAATTGATTCTGAATTGGATTGGGAAGTTATTTAACGTGATTTGTTAACAAAAAATGTACTAAAAGTTGAAAAGTTCTTTACTAATAAATGTTTTCTTAAAAAACACAAAAAGAATCCACCGAACAACTCTTAAAAATTGAGGAAACTTATTCATGTCTACACAATCAAGTAAACATGATGATTATTCAAAATAAAAATAAAATAAAGAATCTTGTTAGAACACGAAACATACTTATCATTGGTAAGGTGTACAAGAAAACATGAAAACGATCCTTAGTTTTGGCAAATTAAATTCTGCTAAATTTATATCCCACTACAAAAGTTAATGATTAGAAACCTGAAAAAAAACAAATTTTGTTTGACCATCTTTTTTGAAAGTTTCTTGCGTTTTTGACCACGTGATAATTTAATAATTTAGCCGTAAATACATGGTTGAAAATAATAATTAATAATATAATTGACTCGTTGTATACAATATAAATATAAATACTCAGATAGATACCTGTTCTAAATTTGCACGATTGCACTTATATGATTGATACGTGAAAGCTTCATACACTTGTTAAAATTCAACATTGTTTTGGTCGTAGATGGACCTAGACCTAACTAGATGCCTATAGTTTTACTTAATATATAGCTTCCACGTCCATTTTCTCATAAGAAACCAAAATAAAATTAAAAAAAAACCCTGAACTACTACTTTCAGTCCTAAACATAAAAACTGGTTAAAGATTCAATTTGATTTTAAATATAAAGTCTGAATTCATTTTGTTTCCCATATTTTTTCATCTTTTCCTAAAGAAGTTCTCATAGTAGTTGTACATATTAAAGAAATTTCATTTTCATGCACATGATTAATAAGGATATTTTAAGAAAGACAATACGAATAACTAACTTAACTAATTTTTTTTAATATTCACAAATTAGTTATCTAGGTTTTATATTAAAGACCGGAGGTAACGTATATTTATAAAGAGGTATATGGACTTTTTAATGGGTTACACCCATCAATTTTCGAAAGCAACATCATGTCTCCATTAATTTACATAAAGCAAAATTGGACTATAGAGGTGTGAAAGTTCATTTAAAAACCATTTGTTTCATACACAAGATTTGAACTTGAAAGATATATTGTTTGAAGAGAATAAATGTCGAATTACGTGAATCATTACTTAAAGGGCTACAACAAAACATGGATGAGGAAACTTAACTAATGATAATTTAATAATAATAAAAATATGCGTAGAATGGATATTGTATTGTTGCGTGAGAATTTTTGTTGAATCACTTTGTTTAATGATAATAAACTAATAGAAAGATTACTTTGTGGGAATATTGTAAACTACATGACAAAATGATCAAGTTGAAGAGGTGTGAGAGGAAACCTAACTTAGATTTTTAATATTTTGATGAGTATTAGTGTTATTTGTTAAAAAGTCTTAGAAAGTTATGTTTTTACATGTAAATTAGTGTTTTTTTCAATGATTTTAAAGGAAAAAAGTTAACACACTTCGGTTGTATAAAAGTTAAAAAGAAATTAAAAATATTTTTTATTCCAATCGCTTACTTAATTAATGTGTTAACTCTGTTGCTAACAATAACAAAGAGATTAAAATCATCAATAAACTAATTACAAAGTTAAATATTCCAATTTTGAGAATGAGAAAGAAAAACACGTTGGTAGAGTTATTTTCAATTATGCCTAACAATGTTGAATATAACCCGATGATGGTATCGAATATAAGATAAACATATTGAAAAATGAATAAAAATAATGATAATATGGAATCAAATCCTTTTGTCTGTCATTATTGAATCAAGCCAGCAAACCAAAATAAATTTGAACAAGACAAGACAGTATAATTTGCAACCATGAGAGAATTGAAATTCTATGTTGCATGTGATAAGAGAATAATATATACTCTTCCAGTCCTTAATATAAGACCTATTTAACTAATTTGATTAGATTAAGAAAGTTAAGTAAATTAGTTAATTATAAAAATATGACATGTTTTTCTTAAAACATCATAATCATCTTTCTTAATATCCTTCCTCCCCCACTTATTTGGTTATGATTGAGGGAGTATCAATAGGAGTAATTTAGAAAAAAATTGATAAATACAAAAAAATAGGTCTTATGTTTAAGACCAAAATTAATTTAACAATTAAGTCATGTATTAGGGATCAGATAAGTACTCTTCCGGTTCTTAAAATAAGACCTAATTATTGAGCTGGTTTTGATCCTAATTATATGACCCATTTCTCATATTTATCAATTTTCTCTAAATTACCCTTATGAATATTCCCTCAACCATAATCAAGTAGAAGAGGGAGATAATGTATTAAGAAAGATAATTATAGTGTTTTAGTAAAAACGTGTCACATTTCTTATAATTAATTAACTTACCTAACTTTCTTAATCTAATCAAATTAGTTAAATGAGTCTTATATTAAGGACCAGAGTATATATATAGAGAGAGAGATCTTTGAATATCTCTCGTGACGACATTCAACGGTGGTGCGGAGAACTCTAAATAAAGATCAAATTCACAAGACAAGAGAGAACAGATTTGGAAACACTTTTCAAGAAAAATGAGGGTGATACGATTCATTTGGGATAGCGATAAAGATGGATGAGATAAAAAGCAACATTATATTCATTCACGTTGGACATCAGATTTATTTGAAATTTGTTGTTATTAGGAGAGACTTCGATCAAAAAAAAAAATTTATATGGTGTGTGTGGCATATATGTATGTACTATTGATCATTTGGGCCATCTAAGGTTTGCTTCATCAGAATCAAATCTTTGTCCTCCAATTTTATCCTTTGAATGCGTGTCGTGTGTCTGACTCATATTTTGCTAAGGTTTGTTTTGTCCTCATACAATTTCCACTTTTTTCTTTCACGCATGATGTGTCTGCTCATCTTTAAATTTGTTCTATACGATATATATATATATATATATATATATTTGTTTGGACTTGCCCATCTTTGAAAACAAAGATTAATACTACCTCCGATCCTAATTATAATGGCTAATTGACTAATTTAAAAAGATTAAGGGAAAAAGTTAAGTTAGTTATTTGTCATAAATAGGTGGTCTTTTTTAAAATATTATTACTAATCAAGTGTATTGGCTAGAACTACTATTATTAGAAGGACTATCTTGAAAAAAATACATAAATATTATAAACAAAATAAATAGGATTCTTATATTTAGGATCAAAATAAAAATCAAATGAGATCCTAATTAAGAAAGAGGTAGTATCATTGTCGGTGCTTATAGCTTATGACTGAATTTTGGTTTAAGTTTCCCTGTAGCTTCAAATTATCAGTTTTGGTCCATGTAATTTCATAAGAATTTGGTCTGAATTTAACTATATAAACCAAAATTGACACTCGGATTATTCGTTAAACTGAGACTAAAATCTTATGAAATTTTTTTTTATATGGCTAACTTGTGTTAGATTCAAGAGCATTGTCGGGTCTATTTGATGTAGAGCCGGGAAAACGGATCGAGCCCGTTTAGGCCTTGAAATTATGAGGGCCGAGTTTAAAATTTTTCCTTTCAAATGGGAAATAAGCCCTGGAGGGCCAATGGCTTAAAAGGGTTGGCCCGTTAAGGCCATTTTATAATTTTTTTTGTTTTTTAAATTTTTTTATGTGATTCTACTATTATTAATTTTTTATATTGTTAATAATATTTCAAATATTTAGTTATTATTATCATTTTAAAATTAAATTTTATAGAATGATTTGATTTATTTAGTTTTAGACAATAATTTATCCAATTAAATTTTTAAAAAATGGGTTAATTTGGACTTTAATAATGATTTGATTTATATTATGTATGTTGATATTTTTAAACTATATATATTTGATAATAG